AATTAGTGACCTTCTAGCTTCATACCTTACTTGACTCCTAGATACTAAGAACGTAGTATTAAATGTAAGAAATCAAGACTTAGCTTATTATAACTTGATCAAATTTGATGGAATTCTGAGAATACATTGATGTGTCTAATTCGGTCCTCACTATACGTAATTATTAATACATTGCTACGGACGATATTCTTGAGATACTAGATTCTATACTTGTGTTGTAGGTCATTCGCGAGATTTGTTGAAACACTTGAATACTACGGTTCTTGAGGGTTTATTAAATTATTGTTAACTTGGAAAGTTGTTTGGAATATTCGTTAAAAACTCTCCCTGAAGTTATTTATGCTTCCTGTCTTGTTTGTCACTGATATACATATGCTTGGTAAGGAACAGTGTAAAGCAGGAAGGGTGATGTCGTGCCATATCATTTGAGGTAAAAACATGAAGGGTGATACCGTGCCATATTATTGAGAGTAAAAGCATGAAGGTGATGACGTGTCATATTATTGATAGTAAAAGCACGAAGAGTGATGTCGTGCCACATTATTGAGAGTAAAAGCACGAAGGGTAATGTCGTGCCATGTCATTTGAGAGTAAAAGAACGAAGGGTGATGCCGTGCCATTTTATTTATATTATAATGCTTTTATGTTATCACGAGTTCATGGCACGATGTGTGTTTCCGTGCAGACGAGGATGAGGGACAAGCATTATGTTGTAATTTTTGTTCCCCGTGTATACGTTTATTCCTTTACTTTGAGATGTTATTGTCGTGCTTATAGATCTTCTATGACTTGTTGTTATTTTCATGTCCTCGATCTCTATCTCAATTGTTGTTGTGTTGCTCATATCTTCTACTTGCTTAACTTGGAAACACAGTGCCTACTTCCTGTTGTTATAATTACATCCATGCCGTATCTATTCTATTGCACTTTAGTACAAGCTCTTCTCTATGTTAGCCATTCATTCATCTACTTGTTAACTTGTAAAGATCATGTGTTTCCTTCTTATTTGTTATACCTGTATCTAGGCCTCCACCATGCTAGTTAGTTGAAGTTGATATTCCTTGTCTTCCAATTGCTGTCATTTCTCACATGGCTACCGCCTAGTCTGTTGATGTTGCCCACATGTATATCCTCGTTCATTATTGCTACTTGCATATTTTCTACTTTATAATTTCTGTTATCGGTATTTCTGTCATCCGGTTGTACTGCTATACGTATATTGGGTGAGGATGAGATAAAAGCACGAAGGGTGTTGCCATGTAATTGACTTGATATCTAAGCACATTCTTCATGCTATGAAAGTTATGGAGCGGCTGTCGTGGTTTATTGGTTTTCGTTCTAAGGCAAAGATTGGTCGAGGTATTGGAAAGTTGTTAAATTGTGATCTCTAATAGCACTCAGTTATTGTTTTGCATATTCGTTTTATGTATTCCTTTCTGTTATATCGTAGTATAGTTCTATTGCTCATTTATGGTGCAGGTTTTAACAGTGAGTATCTTTTAACTAAAAAGTCCTGTCAGTACTTCGACGAGGTTAGATAAGATACTTACTGGGTATATTGGGTCGGTTGTACTCATACTACACTTTTGTACCTTGCGTGCAGATTTTTGGCGTAGAGCTGCTAGTGATGTCGGGAGCTGACTCTGAAGTTATTCGTGCATTCCGAATATAGCTGCCACTTGTCCTTGGTAGCTTTAGATTTTTTTAATTTGTTTATGTAACTTTCAAACAGATCGTGTAATTATTTGTATCAGCTTTGTAAATTTTAAGTCTTAAAAGCTCATGATTCATACTACCGGTTCTTGGGTTAAATCGTAAATGTTCAGATAATTCTTCACTATATTTTTCTATAACCTCATTTGATTGCATTGACTATTAGTTGGCTTACCTAACGTATCAAATTAGGTGTCATCACGACTAGTAATTTTTGGATCGTGACAATGTCAGCGCTCGGTGATTGTGCAAGTGAAGTAAGTGGCAAATATGGTTGGTGATGATAGTGGTTGGTGACGGAAGTGATTAGCACTTAGCAATGGTGATTATGTAGTAAAGGCATGTGGTAGAGACGATTTTGTAGTGGAGATAGTTGAAAGTAGTGGTTGTGCAGGGGTAGCTGATAATGAAAGTGGTTATTTAGTGATAGTCGATGACATAAATAATTGGTGGTGTTGCATGTGGATGGAGGGTGGTGTGGCTGGTGATGGAAGTGGTTTTGGTACGATGGTTGTGACTTGTATAGTAGAAGCTGGTAATGATTGTGCGATGATATTAATTTAAACTCTATACAACATTTAAATGAATCAGATCTATTTAGAGAAAATAAGCAATTACAAAAAAAAAAAAATTAAATGTACTTAATGAATTGATCGGTAAGATCTGAATGATTCATATTGAAATTTACATGAGCCGGAAAAAATGGGTAGAAATGACATCAGCTAACCACTACGTCCAATCTTATTTAAATTATATTTAATTTTTAAAATTATTTAAAGTTTAATTAGCTTGACAACTTTAGATTACTCATGCTCTTACGTTTCTAAAGTTAGACTTTGTCGGGCCTAAATTCAGACAATGCATTCAAATTTTGGCTATTCCTTTAAGAGGAATTTACGCAAAACACAACTTATTTAGATATGTTACAATTGCTTTTAGAAAATTACATAAGATACAACTTATTTTAAATTCTACAATTTTTAATATTCATTGTCTCTCTCTTGAGATTCTCTCACTTAAAAGTATCCATATATTTATATATATCTCTGAAGATTCTCTCTAACCTAAAATGTATCTATCCGTATTAATTCTTCCCCAATTTCTCCATTAAAAGAATTCAAGCATATCCCAAACTTCTTATGCTATTATCAATATGTATCTGAAGCATGCTAATAATTAATATAGTAGACAATATATAATATAGTATAAACTAATGTGAAAATGGTATATAAATATACAATATAACATACCTTCATTGTATAATATCACTTTTAGTTGTATAATCCTCTTCTACTTTTATCAATATGTATATGATGCATGCTAATAACTAATATAGTATACAATCTACTATACATTATAAAGTAATGTGAAAATGGTACATAAGCATACAATATAGCATACACTTTTAGTTATCTCAGTGTACATTGAGAAGAAAAATATGATGTATACTGCTAATATATATGGTATACAATATATTATATAATATAAACTTTTATGAAATTGATATATAATATATAATACATCACCTTTTTGGGTAGTTTTATTTGAAGAATATTTCTCGAATTATTTGTTGAGAATGTGTAGAAGGATAATATAAATAAAGGCGATGGAGAATTTTTAGAGACCAAGATGGAGATTGAAATAGAACTAATCTAATGAGTTTATAATGAAAATGTAACAAAATGGAGAATTTGTAGGCATTAATTATGGAATGGGATGAGAAATGGGATAGTTTGCATTCCTTTTTTATAGAGATTCTACCATATTTTAAGATTATACGTAAAAGCCGTACAGTATGAAAACCTAATTGTGGTTGTATATTATGAAATAATTTTTGAATCTCTAAGCAATTATGAAAAATTCCCTTCCTTTAATAGGAATCCTAAAACGGCTATGTGGGCACTTCCCCCACAAATGGTGCCAAAGTTGGGCGTACTGGCTTGGACCTGGTCCAGTCAGGATGGGCCTGTTTTGTAGAGCCACCTAAAGAAAAGAAGTAAAAATTGCGCGGGACGTCCTATTTAATCGCCCCCATTTAACCTATACCCATTTTTTTAAAACTTTTAATTTATACCCACTTTTTAAATAATTTCAGCTCCATTTCTCCTCCTCCTCCTTCTCCTCCTTTATTTTCTTCTTCTTCTTTCTTTCTTTCTTCGTTCTCATCGTCCAATTCATAATCTTTGTTAAAAAAATGACTTTCTTATACCAAACACAGTACACACTCCCATGGTTGGTTCATATCCATTTGCATAATTCATTAATGAAAGGAGTTACACTATCCTATTATAGTAGTTACGCTCTGCTTTAAGGCTAAAAAGTCAAAAACCCAAATACAGTATAGTAGTAACTGCTGAAGCAAAGCATCTGATTCGTAGCTTACTTCAGTGAAAACATAAGAAAAAAGTAAATATAACAAATAGTGCCAATTTGTTATACACTGCTGAAGTTTTTATAATGAACTAATTACTTCAGCTCTTGAGCTGAAGTTAGACAGTTACAAAAAAAAATCTTCAGCTCTTGAACTGAAGCCCCAGTTACAAAGACAAAAACTTCAACTCTCTCAATTACAAAGACAAAAACTTTTGTAAAAAAACAAGATGGAATTAAGGTATTATATTATAGTGCAAATGAGAGAGATTATATTTGGTCATAAGAGAACAAGACGAGAGAATTTAATTGGGGAATTTAACTGAAGTTTAACATCTCAAGAGAATAAAGAGAACCTCTTTATTGTCAACACAACCACGTACATTGGACTGACAGTTCGCACAGTAACACCGAGTACACAGGCACGCAAATAAGGAACCAGGGTGCTCTTCTTATCAGATATCTCAACACTCAATCGCGCATAATCATTTCTTGTCTTAGAGTAACCAAATTTTAGAAAAAGAACATTTCGTCTCGTTCAATTTCGACTAATCCCTATTACTGAAGAGGAAAAGAGTAGACTTCCCTACAAGACTTAGGTAAGGTCTACTGGATTCTTACTTGACATATTTCCTGTCATTTTCAATTCTCTCATCTTGTTCGCTTATGACCAAATAAGATAGAGCTGAAGTTTTTCGGTTACATCCCGGTTAAAACACAAAAACTTCAGCTTTAGAGCTGAAGTTTCCCAGTTACAACACAAAAACTTCAGCTTTAGAGCTAAAGTTCGTCAGTTACAAAACAAAAACTTCAGCTCTAGAGTTGAGCTTCAGGCCCGGCTACTAAAATGCTGAAGTTTTGCGTGATTGCCTTTGCTACTTCAGCCCCGTGTGCTGAAGTTATACGAAGAAGCGGGTACGTTTGCAATTTTTTTTGCAAAGCGGGCACAAGTTAAAATGTGACATAAAAAGCGGGTATAGATGCAAATCCCCCATAAAAGAAGCTACAGTTGAAGGCCTGAACAAAGTAACAAATGGACTTCAATTCTGGCCCAAATCGCAAAACGAAAACCAAATAAAAACAAACGAACACCCTAAAACCCTACTTCTTCTTTTTCGACTCGCATAATTTTTCCAGCTTTAAGGTTTTCTCACATCCGCTGCACAAATGGTAACTATCCAATCTACAAATGCATAAGTTTCCTAGAGCTGAAGTTTCCCGGTTACAACACAGAAACTTCAGCTTAAGCTGGAAATGGTAGCTTAAGCTGAAGTTTCCCAGTTACAACACAAAAACTTCAGCTTTAGAGCTAAAGTTCGCCAGTTACAACACAAAAACTTCAGCTCTAGAGTTGAGCTCCAGGCCCGGCTACTAAAATGTTGAAGTTTTGCGTGATTGCCTTTGCTACTTCAGCCCCGTGTGCTGAAGTTATGCGAAAAAACGGGTACGTTTGCAATTTTTTTTTTTTGCAAAGCGGGAACAAGTTAAAATGTGACATAAAAAGCGGGTATAGATGCAAATCCCCCATAAAAGAAGCTACAGTTGAAGGCCTGAACAAAGTAACAAATGGACTTCAATTCTGGCCCAAATCGCAAAACGAAAACCAAATAAAAACAAACGAACACCCTAGAACCCTACTTCTTTTTCGACTCGCATAATTTTTCCAGCTTTAAGGTTTTCTCACATCAGCTGCACAAATGGTAACTGTCCAATCTACAAATGCATAAACGATCAACTCTTTATTCAACTTTGATTGTGTATATATGTTTAGTTATTATTTTTGTTGAATCGTATTAGGGAAAAGGAACAGGTAGTTTTGGTAAGAGGAGGAACAAGACACACACACTGTGTGTGAGATGTGGTCTTCGTCGCTTCCACATCCAGAAGAGCCGTTGTTCAGCTTGTGCTTACCCTGCTGCTTGTCTCAGAAAATGTATGTTTTGTTTTCATTTTTGAAGCACCCTTTTGATATTGATATTTGCTTGTTGGAACTGGTATTTTATTGAGAGACATTTCAATGTTGGAAATCGATGTATTTCTTTAGTTGATTATGAGCTTGTTTGGTTTGGATTAGAAAAAGGGTAGTGGCTGTTTACATAGTCATCATAAGATAACTGATTGTAATGTCAGTTTTACTGAGCACATAGTCATCATAAGAACTGCATACTTCAACTCTGTTATATGTGGGATTAACTGGTTTGTCTTTCTTTTGGGCACCGCAGGAACCGAGGCTACTCCAAGGAAGAAGGGTGCTGCTGTAGCCTCTTAAAGTTTCTAAATTAGCAGTTCAACTGTTTCGTTTTGATTTTTTGCTTTACATTCCCTGATGAATCGAGTCTTGGATATTCGTACCTCTGAGTATTATCTCTCATTTGTTAGTGTGGAGTGGTTCCTATTTAAGACAGATCCAATGATGATTGCCTTTTGTCCTTTATATAGTAGTTCTTTTACATTCCTAAGCGTAATATTTTGAATGTCTAAGCTCTGGGTTCTTTTCTATCCTCTACCCCCTTCCTTCTTATAAGTTCTCAAACTCCTTTTCCTCCTGATTTTAGGCACCAAGTTGACAATTAATTAGCTTATTTCAGTCCTTAAAAACAGCAAATGCATTCCCCACTATTAGTTGACTTTTAACTTTTCAATCCCACTTAGAAATGTCCCTCTTTTGTTCATTAGTGCCCTATTTATTAATTAGCAGCCCTTATTAATCCCGTTAATCCCCTGTTATTACCCCTTACACTTATTAGCAGCCGGATCAAGACATGGGTCAAATTGACCCAAGGTCAATCAAACAGTGGCTTTCAAACCCCTGGACTGAACCCTCCCTGAACCTCAAATGGTTCAGTCAGATTCTGGAGTCCAAATGACTCAAAGGGTCCAAATGACCAATTCAAGTCCAAACAATTCACTTACTCGAAATCTGATTTAACCATTCTAAAGATTAACTAATTCAAATCTAATATTCTTATCAAAAACAGAAAGCAAATCACACTCAAAAAGGCCCGTAATTTAAAGCTATTTCTAACATTCTGACTATTATTATTCACAAAACTAAAAACTAATTCAAACATAATTCTTACTAAGACCTAGTTCGTATCCCACAATCAAACTTTAATCACAGAATAGAAGATGAAAAGACTTGACAAGATGAAAAAAGAAAAAATGCTGCAAATAACACAATTAATGAAACAAATCCAACAAACAGTTTCGAAATCAAACAATAAACTGAAGATAATTTCTAACAGAAGACTGGTCGAATTTCAATCTGAAATCAACCAGAGAAAAGAAAAAAATGGGGAAAGAGGAACCTCACAATAATATCAAAGGAAAATAAAAAAAATAAAAGGAAACTCACCGGTCAGGCTCTAATTTGGAATCATCATCTTGAGTCAGGTCTCGAAGCCCTTCTTCTTCCTTTTGATTTTTACCGAAATGGGTCTCGATCCTGTGTTCTCAGACGAGAACACATGACCGAGATCCATTTTGTCTTAATCATCGCTCAAACACTGGCTTTAGGGGTTTTTGTCAAAAATCAAGTCTAATCTCTGATTTGAGATTCGACGAGTTTCAAGGGGTTTTGAGGGAAGCTAGGTAGGGATTTGGGGAGATGAGGCCCCAGTGGTCATCTGGTGTTAATTTTGGACCAAAGGGAGGTGGCGCCGCCACCGGAGAATATGAGGGCGGCGCTAGGGTTCGTCGTTTCGATTCAACATTCGACGAGTTCTACGACGATTCGACGGAAGGGGAGTTTGGATTTGGGAAGAGGAGGTCGAGGCGGTTCTGTGGTGTTAAGGTGGGGTGGTTTGGGAGTTGCCCACCGCCGTGAGGCGATTCCCGGCAGGCGACGGACGGTGGTGTGAGGTGGTGCATGTGTTTGGTATCTGAACCCAAGAGAGACGAGTGGGGGGGGGGGTCTGAGGGGGGCTGGGTCGTTGGAACGAATATATACTGGGGTGGGGATTTAATCCAACCCGTTGGATCAACCGGTCATTTTGGCCGGTTGGGGACTGGGTCGGTCCGGGAAAATGGGTCGTGGCCGGATCGGGTGAGGTTGGGATGTTTGGGACCGTTGGATCAAGTTGATGTTAACGGTTCCGATTAATTGGTATTGAAACGACGAAGTATTCTCTCTATACTACGTCGTTTTGATGGTCTCAGAGATGGGTGGTTTGGACCGGGTACAAGGGCGGGTTTGGGCTGGTTTCAACCGGGTTTGGAGTGTTTTGGTTTGGGCCTTGAATTAAAATTGTTTTTTGGCCCAATCTGATTCCCTCTTAATTATTTTCTCTCTTTTCTTTTCTTTTCTTTATTTTACTCCTAAATTAATTTCAAAATTTAAACCAAAAATCCTAACTCAAATTATAAAACCAAAATTGACTTAAAATACTAATCCACTTTAAATAATATTTACCACACGTAATTAAACACTAAAAATAAAACAATCACACGATTTGACATTAAACACTGAAAAATGCAAAATACATATTTTTTATGATTTACATTCTTTTGTAAGACAATTAATTATTGATTAATTACAAATGTCTATTTAAATCCTAAATATAATTGCAACGTATTTTTGTATTTTTTATTAATTTAACCAACAAAACACAAATGCAAACAATTACTAAAAATATCACGAAATATTCACAAAATTGCACACAATAAAACAAACATTTTTGTTTTGATTTTGTGGGAGTAATTCCCGTGACACAAAAATCACGTGCTCACACTAAGTACTTGGTAATAGGAAAGATTCAAAGAAGCACGTTGACTTTAGAGGTTTTATCCTGATGAATAAACTCGTTTTGATTTCAATAATTTATTCTCTTATTTTAATATTTGAAATTTTATCTTCCTCTTATAATTTCATGTTTAAATTCACTGCATACCACGATATAAAGTATTATAGTCATACCTCAGAAATTTTGCAAAGTACAAGCTACATTGATCTCTCCCCAAGTATCAATGTATCATATCTACAAGTAGTTTACTTAATAAACTCAATAGTATTTGTTTGGTATTCCTGCTATTATCAAAAACTTATTTTCTTTAATCCTTTGATGCTATTAGATTACGTCTTTCTATTTGTTAACAAGAGATATATTTTTCTAATGCGACTTAATTTTTCTTGAATACTTTTGTCTTTTCTATTTTTAATTGCTTATATTTTTTATTTGTTTTTTTATGTGGTTTGGTATTTAGTGGCCGAGTAACACTCAAATGAATGAAAGTTTTGGAAAATTAATGCGCAAATAGGGAAAAATATTTCTTTTATATATATAAGCTTTTGATTTTCATCTACCTTTTCAAGTTTGAAATTTTTGTGAAACACAATTTATAATATAATATGTATGTAACATTTTAACAAAATACATATTTATTGAGATAAGGTACACTAAGACTGGTTGACAAAAAAAGTAGCAGATCGTTACCTAAAACGTGAAATTTTAGGTGAAGTATTGTGAACCATGCTTATTCCATAAGGGCCTATAGGCTACAAAAGGTGAATGGGGCTGAGTCAGTTGGAATTATTGGGCCGAGTAAAATATTGGAATGGTTAAAAGGACTAGCACTACGATCGAACAGGATTATGCCTATTCTTGAAAAAGAAAAATGTCTGCTCCTCTCATCTCCTTGCTCTGTGTCTAAGTTCTCATCTCCCTTCTTCTATGTTGTATTTCTGTCCTCTCATCCCTCTTTGTTATCTCTCAATTATCTTTTACTGTTTCATTGTAATTTCTAGTATTTTTAAGTCCGTTCAGTGAATGTTTGGTTGTTATCGGTTTGTTACATGAAGGTACTTATGGTGTTGTCTTCAAGGCCATTGATACTAAGGTAGTTCTTATTATAACACTTGTGTATTTTTCTCTGTTTTTCATTTTTGCAGTATTTGATTTTGAAGATTTTCTAGGGTTTTGTGTAATTCATGTTTTGATTGTTAATTATATGAACCGTTGATGTTTAATCCTTGAAATTTAACCCTCTTTGATGTTGACTGATTGAAAGCTCTATAGATTTTTGAATTAAAATAGAAAAAGCTGTTAGTGCTAGCTCGTGGGTGTGATTGTGCTTTTCATTTTCTGTCTTTGGTTTCAATAATTCTAGAATTTGTACCATTGGGTACCTGCTACCTCCCACCACCCATCAGTATAGATATGGGCAACTCTGTCCACCAAAGTTTAGGCAGATGGAAGAAATTACCTAAACTTCTAGTGTTTTTTTTGTCTCGACTGTGATTTGAACCTGGATTCCAAGGTTTGCACCTACTACATTGAGCACTAGGCGACACCCTTGGGTGCGGAAGGAATTCTGTAATATAAAGCCATGTTTGTTGTTTCTATCTCCAATCTTCACACATAGCTAGTCCCGAGTGTGGAAATGAGTCTTAAGTCCTGTCCCCATGAAGGAGGAGGGTTGTTGTAGGTTGACGTTCAGCATAAATTACTCAAGCTATTAAACCTCAAATAGTTTAGGATTAATCATAGCTTATTGATTGTTCTTTTGTTGATGTCTATGAATTATGGAATTTGTTTTCATTTAAATTTTATCGTGCAAAGTTGAATGTAAAATTGAGCACCCCAAAAAATAAAAGATGTTAGTGCTAGTCTTAGATGGATACTGGTGGTTTTGGAGCTCACTTTGTACCTAATCGCGACAAGGCATAACCTCTAAGCTATATTGATTAGTGTGAGATTTTGAGAACCTCTAGTTTAAGAGAGTTGTCAATTTGCCTTAATAGACAAATTAATTAGAAGTATTGGGATGAAATGGGCTTGAATAAGGCGGAATGGATATAAAGGACTCAATATAGTTGACCCCAGATGGTTTTGGATTGAGGCTTAGTTAATTAGCTGATTAAACATTTGGTTTCATTTTGTCTCTTGAAATAATGATTTATTTGATGTATGCTTTAATTTCATTTTCTGCAGAGTGGCCAGACTGTTGCTATCAAGAAAATTCGTCTTGGGAAACAGAAAGAAGGGGTGAATTTCACTGCCCTTAGGGAAATAAAATTATTGAAAGAGCTGAAGGATCCTCGCGTCATTGAATTGATTGATGCCTTCCCTCACAAAGGAAACTTGCATCTTGTGTTTGAAGTCATGGAAACGGATCTTGCGGCTGTGATTCGTGATAGGAATATCTTCCTCTCACCTGCGGATATAAAATCTTATATCCAGATGACATTGAAAGGACTTGCTTTTTGTCACAAGAAATATGTCTTGCATAGGTATGCGTTTATATATTCTCGCTTTCACTAGATTCTAACTTGTGTTCAGCTTCCTTAAATTTTTGTTGTTTCTTCCTGACAGAGATATGAAACCAAATTGATTGGACCTAATGGGCAGCTTAAACTTGCTAACTTTGGATTAGCACGTCTATTTGGTAGCCTGATAGAAGATTCACTCACCAGGTATAACTCTTGGAGCATGTATCCTGTCAGAAGTTACTTTT